TAAAACACTCGTACAGTTCAATAGTATAAAGTGAAGTACATTTCACATCTATAACCTTTGTAGTTTTCGCATAAACGCCAAAAAACCGGGCCATATGCCCACTTTGGCCACGCATTTTATATGGCCATAAATGACGGGCATTGTGCCCGCAATATGGCCAAATGCCCGCAATATGGAATAAATGGCTTTTCACTACTTACAATTCAAATGTGATTGAAATACCCGTTCACTGCTTACACCTCTACTCCAAACCATAAGACATGTGTAAAGTGTAATACACGTGATAACTATAACAATCATTAAATTGTCACTCAATTGATCCCATTGTGTAGTCGTTGCCCTAAATGGTGCGGTAATGACGGGTCAATCGGAGTCAGAGTCGGAATCACTGGAAGTGAATGTTTTGGTGACAAATGAGACGAAGAGTTGTGTGAAGAGAATTCGGGATCAATTCGTGTGCTCTTATGATGACTGCAACGCTGTCTTCAATCGACTCTATCGTCTCAATAGACACTTAAGACGACATTCAGGAGAGGTTTGTATTCATCCAGACTTACCATTCAATTGATTGTCTATTTTTGCACTCATTTTAGAGACCATTTGTTTGTCCAATAAGTGGTTGTTTTCGTGCCTTTAGTTGTAAATCATATCTCACTAAACATCTTAAAAGACCGCACAATACGGACAATGCGGACAAAGCGGGAGAAGAATTGGTCCAATCGAGTGACGCCAAAGTGAAGAAGTGTTACAAACAATACGTCTGCAAAGATTGCGACAAAGTATTCAAAACCAAATTTCAATTCAAAATGCATTGTTTCCAACACTCAGGAGTGAAGCCCTTTGAGTGCGACAAATGTGACCAACGGTTTGTCACTAAAGCCAAACTCAAGAGTCATCTGAAGACACACGACGGCTATGCGTGCGCTCGAGAGGGATGTGATTACAAGACATTCAAATGGAGTGAATTGCGTAAACATATCGCAGTCTTTCATAGAGTTTACCTTAAATGCGATTCTTGTGATAAAGTCTTTAAGAATTCATTTAATCTTCATTTACACCAAAAGACTATCCATTTGAGTGAAAACCACAAAATTGTCTGCACTTATGCTAATTGTGGCAAATCATACTCTAATGAATCCAATCTTAAGACTCATATTAGAACCACACATGAGAAGCAACTCTTTGAATGCACTCAAGAAGGATGTGATAAGACTTTTCTTCACAAGAAGTCATTGGCAAAGCATTTGGAGACTCATTCAAA